CGGCGAAACTCCGTGCGCTCCGCCTCGTAGATCGTCATGCGCTCCTCCAAATCCTCCATGCGTTCCAATAGTCGCTTCTCCAGGTCGTGCACATACACCTCGTCGGCCTTCTGCGCCACCGTGGCACGATCCGCCTTTTCCTGCAGCGTCGCTACCACCTCACCGCGCTGCACGTAATTTTGGTCAAATCCCTTCAATCGGCGCACCGCCTCGCCTCTACTGCCGCCTTCAGGTCCCACTCTCCCGTCAGCTGCGCCATTAAGATTTCGGCACAACTCCTTTCGCATTTCTTCCTTCAGTGAGGCCATGATGTTGCCCATTGTCATGGACTGCTCGTCTTTTAACTCACCGAGACGGTCCATCACATCCCGCAGAATGAGGCGTCGGAACTCGACGAGGAGTGGGGCGCCCCGCATGACCTCCTGCAGCTCGCGGTTATCTCTTCCAGCCTCACTTCGCCCGGCAGAGCCCACACCACTACTCACCGCCTCATCCTCATCGTCCTCAACGGGGGATGGTCGGAGCCAGAGTGTAAGCCGCTCCAACTCTTCCATATACTGTTTTTGCGACAATTCAAGCCCCTCACACATCTGCTCCAATCGCTTGCGAGCCTCCTCGCTCTGCTGACGCGCCTTCTTCTCCCGCTCCTCCCTCCCTCGAATTCGCTCCAGGCGCTCCATGTCAAGCTTTTTCTTAAAACTGTACATCTTCCTTAGTTCGCTGTCCACCTTCCCCCCGTCGTATCCCGACAGGGACCCAACAGAGGCACAGCTCCCCTCCGCGGCGACTGTCTGCGGGTCGCGCAAAAATTCAGGTAGGAGCAACTCTGTAGAAAATCCCTCCGGCATTTCCCCGCCACCCCCCGCAATGCTTTCCTGCAGCTCCAGCAGTACCTGTTCCCGCAGAAACTGACGCACATTAGTGAATAATGTTTCGCACGACTTCACTCCCTCTTGCAACTCGACCAAAGAGCGCTGAACGGCATTCAGATTGTCAGACAGTTTGTTGTTCAGGTTCCGTAGGTATGCCTCCAGGGGAAACGCCTGCACAAGCATTGACGGAATCGGCGGATGCTCACTTTTTTTTTTTTTCTTCTCTTACCAGTCGTAGTAACTACACCTCAATTGTGCAGCTCTGGTAAGCGTACGTTGGAGTTCAGTAGCAAGGATAACCTTACTCCGCGGGCAGCCACTATAGAATGGCTCCAGCATCTGCCCTTCCGGCCCGTAAAACTAAGTAACATTTACTCATCGGGTTTGAAGCATGAACAGCAGGCGCTTAGCTTCCTCTCTAGCAAAGAGTACTAGACCCTGGCACCACGTTGAGGTGGCCGGCTGAGCCAGGGCGGAAGCTCACTCATAGAAAGACTCATTTTCAACACAGAAAACAATTTCCTCCCCTTCGCCAAATATTATGTAGAAAAAATCCTGCTGTGATCATAAAGCCGCAAAAAAGCAATAGATATTTATGCAGTTGTTAATAAATAAAAAAGATATAGAAAGCAAAAGGAAAAAGATAGCAATATAGAAAAATTGTGATTTTCAGCACGCCTAGAAAAAGCACTAAAACTCGTGCCTTACGGAAAGTCAGGCAAATTCGCAACATCCCTGTGTAACAAGCAACAAAAGAAGGCCAGAGACAATACGTGAAGAAGCAAGAAAAAAAGAAGGATGCCTCACTCGGGGTGTACATGTTTAGATTCCTTCTGCTGCTTGTACTCCAGCATCTCCTCCCGCACAACCTGGATGTGATCTTCACTTCGTGGTAAAAGAATGCGGCGTATCGCGCGCAGTGTCTCGATACTCGTGGGGCTTGCAGCATAAGAAAGACGAGCAAAGTCCTCCTGCTGTAGAGGCGTCACGAGAACACTGTCAACCCCAGTACCACCCAACTTCCTCCAAAGAGTGCCAAAGACGCTGTACGATGCTCTGCTGCTCGCCGCAGCCTCCTGCAGGCGCCGCATCTCGTGTTGTGCCTCCTGTTCCCGCAGTGTCGTCAAATATAGCTCTTCGTGCGTGGTGTCCATCGGGTGTTGGTCCTTCACTCCGCTGGTTGCTGTCAGGGGCACCACTGCCGGGCGCTGCTGCGTCTGCAGCTTCTCTTGTGCCAGTGGGAGTGGATGCCGTCCCTGTTTTCCCTCCGCGCCGTGCGCTCCCAGGGCCTCCTCAATCCCAACGGCAGGAACATCTTCGCCGGGCAAATGGCTCTTGCCATTGCCGTTCCTGTTGCTCACAGTAGACACATCTGGCCCAGACATCCGCGTTGCCTTGGCATCAAGCAGCCGACGCTTCTCACGTCGAACGGCCTCCACGACCGGTCGAAAATCGGGCCGGTGGGACTGCAGCTCCTCCCGCGCCCTCCGCATGTCGCGCTGGAGGTTCTCGTCAAGTCCACTCACTGTCTCCTCCATTGCCTCCACAAAGTCTTCGTAGTGCCCCGCAAGCAGTTTCAGTTCGTAGTGCTGCTGCACGCACTCCATCAGCACCCATGCCGTGAGAGCCTTCAGCGCAATAATGCCGTAGTAGTAGAAATTGTCGGTGCGCTCCCACCTGGTGTATTTGCTGATGACCTCCTTCAGTTTCGTAACATTCTTCTCAAACTCTTCGCGTGTGTTGCCAAAGATCATGGCGTCCCTCTCAAAATCCAGGTCAACAAGAAGAAAGTGCTCCCGGTGACTCATCGTGGTCCCCTCGAAGCTCTTCATATACGCCAGGCGCTTCTTCAGCAGCTGCTCTTTCGTAAGTCCCGCCTCAATTGGCATGCCATTCTCGTCATACTTCGGCACAATGCTGCTCTCACCGCCAAAGGGCTGCAGCTTGCGCGGTCGCAGAAATCCAAGGCGTTTGTCCTCCCGTGCGCCGAATCCGGCCCCAAGCCCTACGCCAGTGGTGCCGTAGGGCGTCACTTGTGACGTGAAGTCGCGTGTGGAGCGCTGGTACGCGTCAAACTCCGTCTTCTCGCGCTTCACTGGCGGGAGGTTCGCCACCGGCACGCCGCCGCCAATGCGCTCCGGCTGACGGAAGCTCATCTCCATGTACACCTTTGCATCGGGGCTGTCGCGACGCATGAAACCACGCTGCTGCGCCTCCGCCTCAAGGCCTTGCAACTGATCCCTGTCCAGCGGTGCGCCAAGCGACGGCTGCTGCCGCTCGTCAAGCCGCCCGTCGCGGAGAATAACGCAGGAAGCAAAAATGCCGACTCGTCGCATAATAATTAATTTTATTTTATTTTACTCCTCCCGCACACAACAGGAAGAAAGGAAACAACAGAATAACAACTACGCCAAACGTGCTAAAAAGAAGAGGAGTCGTTCGTTTGCTGCTTTCGCAGTCCTCTTCTTCTCCCCGGGGCGGCCAACGGTACTCCCCGTCCTCGCAATTCAACGCGGGCAAAAGCCACACCGAAAAACTACAAAAAAAAAAAGAAAGAAAGGCAGAAGAGCGCAGCAAACAGACATTGTGGCAACACTACTGGTGTGAAAGCAAGACGAAAAGCAGAAGCGCCCGGCACAAAAGCCTCCAACGCACACAAAAAAAGTGTGAGCGGTGGTGGAAAGAAGTCAAAATAAATAAGATAAAAATAAATAAATATTGCACTGTTCATTACGCCACCATTGCGGACGCCGTGCTGGACTCATACTTCCACGTGGGCGGTAACTGCTTCACGCGCTTGTAGTAACGGGCAAGGCGGTGAATACGGGACTCCACCAAAATCAAGCGGAACTTCGTATCCCTGTCCTTGGTGTTGCGCTCCAAGTGCTTCCGCATCTCCGTGGCACGCTTGATGAGGCAGTAGAGATCCTCTGGGATCTCCGGCGCCATGCCCTTGTGCTTGAGAATGCGCAGGATCTTTCGGCCCGTGACGTTCTTCACCTGAGCAATACCCATAGAGTCACGCAGCTGCATTCCAATGCGACTGGGAGCGAGACCCTTTTTCGCCAGCTTGCAAACGGCGTCAATAACATCGCGGCTGGCAATCTTCAGCCACGAAGGAGGCGTGCGGCAGAACGGCAAAGACGAGGCGGACTTGCCGTGACCAACACCTTGCATGCGGACCATCTTTTCTTCCTTCTGTGGTGGCGCTACGAAGCACACTTCCCAAATTGTTGCAGGATCATGCCAATTATTATGAGAGATTATTTTTTAAAAGAAAGAAAAAGGGCGGGGTGGTCGAAAAAGGCAAAAAAGAAAAAAGAAACACGTCGGAGTCAACGGCCTCAATGCCCCCGGGAATATGAAATTAAGGTGAGACGTTTCAATTAAGATTCACCTGCAAAGCGTACGGCGGCGTCAACCTGCAGCCCGTAGCCGCCAGCTGACATCGCTCCCAGGAGCCACTGCGCGGCCTTTGCGGGGCTCATCAAAAATAACGCGTCAATCCCCACTTCGGCGGCGCTACGGCACGCAAGCGACTCAAATCTTCGGTTTAATGAGAGCGGCTGAAGCACCTCCTCGTCCAGCAGTTTCACCTTCGCGGACTTTTGCCACCGCTGAGCCACTAACGCAAGACCCGTGGCAATACACTGCGCCATGCTACAACCCTCCACCCGACGTTTTGGTAGTGACTTCACGTGCATACTTGGCAGATCGTAGACCGTGCAGCAGGGTGCAACCACAGCCAGTACTTCTCGTCCCGCAAGACGGCTGGCGATGGCGTGGCGCAACAAGCTAAACCACGCCGCCAGGAAGTACATCGTCGTGAAATGATCGGCAAAGGAAGCGACGGAGCTCAAAAAACCAAACATCGTCCCCCATGCCAAATGCGTATGCAGGGGTGCTCCAGTAAAGGCAGCCACAATGCCCTCAAGATACTCTGGGTGGCGAACACAAAAAAGCGCCGGCAGGAGACAACATCCCACATAGTTCAAACCTTTTCCACCGGCTGCATCGATGTTGCTAAAAAGAAGCGACACCGTTGCCGTCATATCCCCGTCCAAAAGCGTCGGAGAAACAATTGCCGTGGCACTCATTGCTGCAACAACCTTTGAGAGCGTTGTGGAGCAGTGGCGTTCCTGCACGGAAGAACAAAGAACCTCAAAAAGCACAAAGCTGATGTCCTCACGTATGACACCCGCGTGCCCACCCGATGCCGCTGCTGCCAAACAACTTGACAAAAGACGTGTCGTCGCATCGTCATGTGGCGCATCCTCCGCAGCAAACTGCAGCACGACAGGAAGGCACTTATTTAGCAGAGGTTCCAGACACTGAAGGCACGCCGCTTGCTCCATGGAGGACTTTAAAAAGCGCAACAAAAAATCTGTCAGAGAGTGCCGCAACTCTGCACGACGCAGGCCATTCTGAAGACAGTACGACAAGAGATGCTGTATCACTTCCACTGCCATGTTGCACTGCCCCGGGGCATGAAGAAAAAGCGACCACACAAATCCAGCAAGAAGTGATGACGCATTCGGAACGTTGCAATGACAGCACGCACTGTCTACTGCGGCGAGCACCAACGACGCCGAGGGCAATTGGCAGGTTGGACTGACACGCACAAGTGTCTGCACAGCGTGAGTGCAGCAATAGACAGCGAGTGGGCCGCCTCGTGACAAAACAACAAGCGCACGTTGTAACCACGCCGATGTGTCGCATAAAATGCCGGAAACGAGAGAAGTGACACACGTCGAGAACAATCGGTGCACGGCGTAAACGGTGACCGCAAGAAGAAGCGACTGCTCCCAAGTGAAGTTTTCGCCAGCACCGTCAAACACAGCTTCAAGGATCGACAAAAAAGCACGGCAGACAGACTCCTGCTCCGCCCGAGCAACGCAGAGAGAAAGCAATTCAATCAACTCTGCAGCTGCCCAGGGATCGACAGCCTGCCTAAGTAGTGACGCAAGAGGCGAAAGAAGACGTCCTGCAGCATCCGGCAGACTGTCCGTCAACGACACTTCCTTTTCGTCACACACACGACAGAAGCAACGAAGGGCAGTTGTCCATGCCCGCCAGTGCGCCGAGGAAGGCCCCTGTTGAAGTTCAGTAACCGTGACGCAAAGAGATCCCACCGCGATACCCAACAAGTGCGGGTTCGCCTCCATCAGAAGCTCCAGCACGGCACCAGCGTTTGCGGCCGTGTCACCGCCAGCGCATTCCAACGGCACAAAACAATCCTCCTGCAATGCGTCCAAAAGTGCGGACTCATCGCCGTGCTCCAGTTCAACTGCGCGCGTCATGTAACTAAAAAGTGTCAACAAG